CTCAGATAACTGAAAACAGGCTTAAAACACATGGACTATAGGATATTTGGTTTTAAATCTATGTGAGAAATCATTTTTAAAAAGAGAAAGACTGTGCCAGAAATTTGGAATAAGATAGTAACAATAATTGAGCAGTTTTAGTTCCTAGCTGTATTCCTGGATATCCTAAGAGGGGTGTGGGGAAGTGAGGGTTAGTTTATATTATTAGATTAAGGGGCAAAATCTCATCTGAAGAGAGAGGCTTCTTGATTTACAATTCTAGGTTGACTTTGGCACTTTAATCCTCATAAAATGTACAATGAATACTATAGTAAACAATCTCTTTTTGACTCTTTAATTGTAGTTTTTGAAAAGATACAATAACCTTTTAAAAATACCACTCCTTCATAAAGCAAGGTCTTAACATTAAATAGTCCCTGCTGAAGGCATTTCTATAGGCTACCTCCTTGCTGTGCTGTGATTTAGGTACGTAGCTTCCTGGAGACCAAATTTTTTATAGTTAATAAAGTTTAGAGAAACTAAACGAATGTGAGGCTACTTGTATTTTAGCTCATGCTGCTCAAACATGTTATTTCAACTTGATTTTTGGCAGGACCAGAGTGACAATTGCTTGAAGGCCTCATAGTCTGGGGTCATTGATCCAGGATGTTCCATTGTTTTTATATTGCAGGTTCCCAGGAATTGTAAAGGACTTTCATTTAAAGTGCATATTTCAGGGTCCAACCATGAGAGATTCTGATTTAGTTCATCTGGAATGGGGCCTAGAAATCCGATTTCAACAAGCAGTCCAAGTGACCTTGAGGTGGCAGTACTCGGGTCACACTGAGAGAAACCCCATTAGAGGTCAGATGAGTTGATGGCAAAGTTATGAAAACTGATGAGTGTTACTTGTATTTTTGCTTCTGAATAGAGTATAGCAGAGGCTTCCCTATGGCTCCACCACAATATTTCTCAGAAGAGCCTTTCATCTGCTTAAGTGTTTGGACAAATTATAGGATCCCAAAATGCATAAAAAATATGTTTTGCCTTAAAATGTATTGTCAGCATCTTCATTCAGGCTGCCATGACAAAATGTCATAGAATGAGTGGCTAAAAAAAAAAAAAAAAAAAAAAAAACAGCAACAACAACACAGAAATGTATTTTCTTCCAGTTCTGGAGGCTGGAAGTCTGAGATCAGAGTGCCAGCACATTTGGTTTCTGGAGAGGTACCTTAAAGGTAACCACCTTCTCAATGTTTTTTCACATAGGAGGTAGCAGGGTGAGGGAAGCAAGCCCTCTTGTCCTATAAAGGCACTAATCCTATCATTAGAGCCTCATCTTTATGATCCGATGATTTCATAATTAATCTCCCAAAGGTTCTATCTCCAAATTCTATCACATTAAGGGTTAGGATTTCAACATATTAGTTTTGTAAGGACACAGTTTGGTCCATAGCAGTTAGATATTACTAGCTCTCTGTGTTAGCCAAAAGGAGCTTAAACATGGCCCTCACAGATCTTCTGATTTGAGGTCAGTGGTGCTCCAGTACTTTTACCAGAAAGAAGTCCCTGCAGAATGTACTCTTACAGTGTGAAATGACCCACTGGATGAAGATCTAAGGGTAGGAAATTCCTGGCAAAATAACTTTAGTGTTAACATTATTAAACATTTTCTCGCATTCATCCCCATTCCTTCCTTATTTTTCATGCTAGAAGAGATACATTGTCAAAGCCAGCTGAGATTGTTTATGCATTGTGGAAGAAGTGAATGTTGACTCATTCCATCAGTTCAGATTAATGGAATTTATCTTGGTACTATAAGGAAAGTTTTTAAAAATCCTTCCATTTGTGAATTTACTATGATTGACATTAAGTCAGCTCTTTTATTTTGAAATAACAGTATAATGTGTTCTAATTGAGATATCTGACTTCTGACTTAACTGTCAGAATTTTTTAAAGATAAAATAAAAATGACACGTGAATTGTACTAAAATCACACATTTCAGTTCAAATATATAGTATGGAGTTATAGGTTCTGAAGGAATAAGTATTAAGAAAAAATAATAAGTATTAAGAAAAAACTTAAAATATTCGGAAAATAAAGAAAATATTCATGAAAGAATCATGTCCTAATATTCTCAACCTGGTCTCTTTTGCGATAAATAGTAGGATTTTTATAAGTGATTTTTCCTGTAGGTAGCAATCATTAAATTAAAAGCCTTTCCACCAAGATCTGACACTTTAATAAAAGTTTGTTTTCTCAAAGATAACCCCTCTGATATTTAAATTCTGACATCTTTACTCTGCATATATATGTTCTCATCAATGTATGATATTTTATACAACATGGAATTTCTAGCCATTTGAATAATGTCAGTTCATAGACTAATAATAAAAATATTAATCCAATGAAGTCAGTACCACTAAGAGTCATAAAACATATTTATTACCATAATATTTGTAAGATTTGTTTAAAATCCTTGTCATAGTTTGGTCTTGAAACATGTTTCTCTTCTATGTAGTTCTTGTCCACCTAAAAGTAGTTGTACCAACACACACGCACACACACACACACACACCCCTCACATGTCCCCCAAGTCAGACTTGCACCTCACTCTTGTCTCCCACACATACCACACATCATACACTCCACTCCATGCTCTCCGCTACACATCATAACCTACTCATAACAGCCAAACACAGGACATTTATTTTACTTCAGAAAGATTATAATATAATGGTTTCCAATAAGTACTTACATTTTAACATTTTTGTCAACTAAGGGATTAAAAAATAAAATTAATAAGTAAAAATTGAAAACATTGATTTTATGTTTAATAGAGATTCAAACTGTGGTTAAAACTATTCAAAATGTGCAGGAGGGTATAATGAAAAGTGAAAGTCCCCTTTCCTCTATAACTTCTTAGTCTTAGTCCAGATAAAACTTTAAAAGCTTCATGTGTTGATTTCTAGAAATTGCTAGAAATACATATGTGTATATAAAACAAATGTTTATTTAATTTTTAAAAGTTGATCACTTGACACTAGTTGAGCCATTAGAATTGGGTGCCAGTCACAGCACTGTGTTCTTGAATAAGTCAACAGGCATCTCTGGGGACCTCTTTAGTTGCCATACCTCTACAGTTAATCTTAGCCATACCTCTATAGAGTGAGGCTTGCCTGGCCACATTTGCCTTAGTTCCTATCTGGGAAACCTTCTGCCAGTGGCTTCTGTGCTCCTCTCTCTGTTTGGGGCCCTCAGAGCTGAAAACGGAGTGGGCACTGGTAGCCGCCTCTGATTCTTCTTGCCAAGGAAGCTTCCCAATTTAGTTGTCCACCTCCAGGTATCTGGGGAGACCAGTGTCCTCTCTAGTTAATTTTCAACTCCTAACTCCACAAATACAGTTTTTTTCAATGGTAGGAGGTATTTCTGGAATATATATTCCAGAAATAAAGCACTTTCTTTTCTAGCCTTTCACTTTTAACTTTGACTTATTTGCTTCAAAAGTCAGTAATGTGGAAGAAGCTGTATTTGGTACCTTTTGGTGCAATTTATCCCATCAAAAAATCACAGCTTTAGAAGGAAGTTATCTTGAATGTTGGAAATGGGTAAGGTAAAGATATAGATTTATACAATATTTATGCAATATTTTAGTAGCCACCAAAATATTATAAAGATTATTGAAAGATTATACATCAATCTTATAGATAGATATATCTATATATATATATAGATAGAGATAACATTATAGAGTCACAATGTTAAAAGTATTTAGCATTGTTTTTCAGAGACTGAATTTCTAAAAAACTTTTTATTCATGACGAAAATCTGGAGAACTTTATAAATTTCCATTTTGTACCTGGCATAAGGATACACAAGGAAATGAAATTATTTACCTAACATCACAGAAATTAAGATGTGAACTGAAATCACTGTACACATCAGTTGATACCACTTTTATAATGCCGCTAAATAAATCTCAACTAATGTGGTTGGTGTTAGGATTTCAGTGTGCATTGATCCGGATGTACGATTAGTGCCTAGTTACTTTACTCATAAAGTAATTCTAGTGATTTTCAAACCATAATAAAACCTTATCTTTTTCGTTCCAAGAGGCAAATATATAATACTGATAATTAAATATTTCTCATTAAAAAGGCACACTTGTTTTCAATAACATAAATCTAGGTTGATGCTTAGATTTTATAACTGCTAAATCTTGTCTGCATCTTTGAAAAGATAAATCCTGTAACTGGGGATGGTGAATTCCCTTAAGAGAAAAGCATGAGGTGGAGGATGTGGGGGTCGGTGGCATGTGCCTGCAGTTCTAGCTACTTGAGGGGCTGAGGCGGAGGATTGCTTGAGCCTAAGAGTTCAGGGCTGCAGCTGTGATCTTGCCACTGCACTCCAGCTTGGGCCACAGAGACCCTGTCTCTAAAAAAATATTTAAACAAACAAAAATTTTAAAATAAAAATAAAAAGATCATAAAACTCAGATCCTGCAAGATGATACTCGGCCTAAATCCTGCACGTTTTTAGGGGGCTAAGAGTCAATGATTTATTTAGTTAAAAGGATGCAATGACTTGACCTCATTCTTGAAAATATTAGCTTCCATTAGCCTTCAAGCCTAGTGCTTTAATGTCAAGTACCTGCTAGTTTCAATGTCCAGGCTTTTAAGAGCGGAAGGTACTATGAGTTCCATTTTGTCTAGGGACACAAGAAAGGCATGGGTATACAGATTTTTTTTAAAAAAATTATTCCATCTGAATGTCATTTTCTAGAGAACAGGAGCATTTGTTCTGAAGGGCTACCAGCCCCTCCTGGGATCTAGCAGCCAGTGTTAGATAGAGGTGTCACTTTCAGGCAAGTAGTTGGCAATGGTATCGCCAGCAACTGAGCCGGCCGCGCACAGCTAGAGGTTTGCAGTGGGTATTGTGTATTCCAGAAAGGGCCGTGACATGTGAAAGGAAGGAATATGCCCTAATATTCTACAGTTGTTTTGTCGTTGCTACTGATTAGGTCCATGGAGGAAAGCCCATCCTTGAGACGCATGACGGTGATGCGGGAGAAGGGCCGGCGCCAGGCTGTCAGGGGCCCTGCCTTCATGTTCAATGACCGGGGTACCAGCCTCACCGCGGAGGAGGAGCGCTTCCTCGATGCCGCGGAGTACGGCAACATCCCAGTGGTGCGCAAGATGCTGGAGGAGTCCAAGACGCTGAACGTCAACTGCGTGGACTACATGGGCCAGAATGCGCTGCAGCTGGCCGTGGGCAACGAGCACCTGGAGGTAACGGAGCTGCTGCTCAAGAAAGAGAACCTGGCGCGCATCGGCGACGCCCTGCTGCTAGCCATCAGCAAAGGCTACGTGCGCATTGTAGAGGCCATCCTCAACCACCCCGGCTTCGCGGCCAGCAAGCGCCTCACCCTGAGCCCCTGTGAGCAGGAGCTGCAGGATGACGACTTCTACGCTTACGACGAGGACGGCACGCGCTTCTCGCCAGACATCACCCCCATCATCCTGGCGGCGCACTGCCAGAAGTACGAAGTGGTGCACATGCTGCTGATGAAGGGCGCCAGGATCGAGCGGCCGCACGACTATTTCTGCAAGTGCGGGGACTGCATGGAGAAGCAGAGGCATGACTCCTTCAGCCACTCGCGCTCAAGGATCAACGCCTACAAGGGTCTGGCCAGCCCGGCATACCTCTCCTTGTCCAGCGAGGACCCGGTGCTCACGGCCTTAGAGCTCAGCAACGAGCTGGCCAAGTTGGCCAACATAGAGAAGGAGTTTAAGGTAAGCTTTGCGCTCTACCCCGGCTGCTCTGCAGGCTCACCCACTTCCCGGCGGCTGCCTGGCCTGCTCTGCCACCCTTCGCTCCACATTCGGTTTTGCCCAGTGAATGTGAAATCATGAGGGACTGAGAGCATCATTCAGACCTCAGCTGATGTTTTCTTTCTCCCTCTCAATGATGGTGCTGTGACAAATTCTCTTTGGGGATCCAGTATTCTGGATCAGAGAGCTGTAGTTATGTTGCCACTCTGTGTTCTGGGTAAGCATTAAATAAAACTCAAGACTTCTCCCTTTTTTGCTCAAAGGAGGGTTTTGGTGTGACTTTTTGTCTTCCAAATCCTTCCTCCTGTTTTGTAGTTAGTTGTATGGTAGCACCCAACACATAAGTAATATTAGTTTGTTTTATTCCCTGAGAGAATATTCCGTTCCTGGAGGTCCTGCAATACCAGGTCTGTGGTGGACCAGACTGAGCAAGCTCCCATTCCGTCTCCGTGATAGTGTTAGTTTTGAATGCGCTGTTCATTGGCCCAAGCATTTGTATATCCCTTTAGAATCAAAAGTCAAAAGACCAGTAAAAAATACTGTTAAAGTCATTTCACTGATATGACAAAGTGCCTCTCCCTGAATTCCACGAATGTACATTCAGAGTGGTGAGCCGTGGATATCAGTTCAATCTAGAAATACGAGGACAGCAAAGTGATTTGCTTTAATGGATTTTTTTTTTTTTTAACGAGTGAACTTTTTTTTTCAGGACATTATCTTCAATCAAGCAGTATTATTTATTTTTATAAAAATTATATATTAATGACAGATCATTTTTATTTTTTGGTCAGTTGCTACATCCTCCTAGGTTTTTTTATTGGTTCTAACTACTAAATCTGGGTATTTTTTAGTTCTGATCAAAATCATTTAGACTGTTTTTGGCAGGTTCTTATCTCCCATTTCCCATCTAAGAAGATGATTGTAGACACCAATTCCTTGAATTATTTTCTACATGCTAAGTTAATCTTTTTAGTTTAGTGTTGTGTTGTCAGATCACAGAAGTAATTATACTTTCACAGCTGAATATGGTTTTTATAGTTGGTGAGATTTACACAAATGCAATTAGCAATATAATTCAGGTTACAGGAAATATACTTTGCAAGAAAATGGTGAGAAAGTTGTCCCATCCCTTTTTAATACACAAAAAATCCTCTGGATATTCATCAACTCTAGTTTTTTCCCAGTAGAGGTCTGGACCTACTATAATTTTGTTAATCCATTAAAAATATTTTCTGATGTAAAAGCTACATTTATTGTAAAAATTTTCCAAAAAAGAGAAAATACAAAGAAGAAAATGTTATCTTATGTCTAATCCCTTTGAAGAGATTCATTATGTGGTTTTTTAAAAAGATTTATTTACTTGAACCCAAAATGAATTTTTTTTTTTTTTTAGATAGAACTCAGATCCAGTTGAAAACTCTAAATTCTGTTTAGAGAGAGTAGAAAAGCATTTAGGTAAAGCACTTGTAAATATCACTTTGTTATTCTGAAACAGTAATAAAAACATAATTCTAAACATATTTATTTGCCACTATTTCAAATGGCACACAAACCTTGTTTATACACATTTTTCTTGATATATACTGAAAGTTTGCAAGAGATTCTATAAAAGGGAATATTTTCTAAGATCATGTTTTAATAATTTACTAAAGATAGTGATGTTTGCAATTCTACCCAGAGACGTCATCTCAGTGCAGCCATGGTAAGAGAATTTGTTATGCATAGTTTTACCCTGAAGCTGGCTAAATCCATATTGGTAATGCTTACAATCTCTTTTATTTTGACTTACAGAGGCACCTCTGATAACCTTTCAAGGGTGAGGAAGTATCATAAATAAAGAGGCAAAAAGGGGAGAAAACATAATTGGATTCTAGAAGACATCTGTAAAGCTGCCATATATCTATAAGGATATGCAAAAATCATCTAAATATCCCAGTTCTTTTTTTCTAGATTATATGTAAAGCACTCATGTAGCAAGACAACCCTCTCTGAGTCAAAATTAGGACAGTTCTTTAGAAGTTATAGTCTCCAAGGATTTTGTGCCTCTCTCCCCTAATTGAATATGCCTTTTCTTTCTCATTCTTACTTGTCCTTGTTATTTTTTTCTTATCTGCCTTTCTTTCACCTTTTTCCCCTGTTATACCATGTTCATATCCATCTGTCAGAGCTTTAGACAGACAGAGAAAATAGTCCTTTCATAGCACTGACCCAGAGACTCTGAGCTCTAAAAGGGCAGTGAAAGTGAAGCTCATTTCTGAGGCAAGCAGGTAACCTAATTTGCCCTGTTCCATGGTGTTTGCTATATTCTTCCCATGAGGACTTTGAACTCAAAGCACTAGCCTTGAAATAAAAAAACAGAGAATGTGTTTCCCTAGTGAAAAAGAGGTGATTTTTTTTTCCTTTTAAGATACCTATATTTTATCTTATCAATGGTCTGTAATATCTAGTATCTTACCCCTGAAATTGACATCATTTAGATGCTTCAGAAAAGATTCTTAGTCACTCTGAAGTTTTCACATTTCTTTGAGGCTTGGTGCTGAAAACATATGAAGGTCAATACCCTAAGAGGTCAAACATTCTAGGATACAGATTTAGATAAATTAATGTAGGATAGCTTGGTGACAGGTTATTTAAAAAATATTTTGGATGTGCAAATGTTGTTTGAAGCTATTCTGAGAAACAGAATATTGGACAGGATAGACCCTAGGTCTAATCCTCCAAAATGTCAGCAGCAAGGAAGCTAGTCATTTATTAAGCAGTGAGAACGCAAATTGAAATTTTCTAGTTCTGACTGAGTCAGTGACGTACCTTTTTTGTAAAAATAAAGAAGTGGGGAGAGGCATTTGCTTCCCTGTGCCTCAGTTTTTCCTCTCCTTAAAGTAAAAAAGCAATTTCACCTAGTATCAGCTGTAAGGAAGAAAAGAAATGAAATAATCCAAACACAAGATAACATTTTATAGCAGGAAAATAAGACTCATCTTTCATTTTGTAAAAGATAAAACAAAGGCTATAGGCAACATTTTATATGTTACGCCTAGATTTGAGTGTCTTGAGTCCCAGTCCTAGGTATTATATCTAATAAAATGTACCTAGTAATACTGAAGCACTTCTTAGCACCTAATTTGTACCAAACACATTCTAAGCATTTAATTCTCATAGTACCAATATTGGGTAGGATTATTCATGTCACAAAGGTAAAGTGAATTCCACAAGATCACAGAGCTGGTAGGTGGTAAGGCAATATTTGAGCCCAGGAAGTCTGGCTTCAGAATCTATGCTTTTAATCACTATGAAAGGGCCTGACAGAACCAAGCCTGTTAAGAGTTGAATTTCAGCTTTCCTCTTCAGGACAAAAAGGGATTTGAATGATAATTAAACCATATATATTAAAGGAGTGTGCAGAAGCCTGTAGATAGATTGTGATGAAGACTGAACTTCATTGTTCTTCCTCTGGCTTGAGCAGATCCTTACGGTTTTGAGTTCTGCTCTATAGAGTATGCAGTAGGTCCACCTGCTAACTGTGGAGGGCTGTGGTAATGGATGAGTGGTACATTAAAGACCATTAAGCAAAACTAACTTAAGAGAAAATTATTAGAAAATATAGACCAGGCAAATGGTCTGATCTGTGAAGTAACATGAGGCAGGGCCTCATGGTGGAACTAACAGTCAATGCAGACTATACATAGATGGTTGCTTTTGCAGCTGAAGAGAGGCTGTTCTTAGCTGGAGTTCTCTGTCTTTCCCTGGGAGCTCTGAATATGCTTAAAAAATGGTATCCAATGATTATAACAAAAGAAATCACCATTGTCTCCAGCTCTGATTATTTTCTGCACTCTGGCAACAGACTTCTTCAAGTGGGAAATGTTTAAATTGTTATAAAAATAAAAAGTGCCATCCTTGCAACATGTTTGATTACCACTTTTTTTTTGTTTCTTTACTGATCTTTCAGTAGATGTGCAAAAAAGCTTTCCTTAAAATTTAGCAGTTTAGAGACTATAATTTTATAGGTCATGAATCATTATTTAGGTATTACTGCAGATGAGGGTACTAAGTTTTCTTCAAAGCATGGAAAGTAGCCTCTTTTTATTTCCGATCAATGGAGAAATGACCACCCTATGTTGTACCAAATCTTACAGAACAGTCTGAACTAAAGAATAACATGAGGAAATTTCATCTAAAAAAAAATGTATTAAAAGGGAAGCTTTATATGGAAACGGGCATGGATTTAATACTCCTTTTGGATGCTGTAATAAAATATTTCATTAGTCTTTCAGGAGTGGAAAGCAGATGGATATTTAACTGACACTCCGCACAGAAACCAGAGACTGAACATTTTATTAATTTTATCAGTTGCATGGTACCAACTTGAATGGAAACCAAAGATTGAAGTTTTATTCATTTTGTCTGTTCCCTTATGAGGGGAAAAGGATTAACTGTAACTGTTCTTTATCTGAATTTCTGATATCTGAAATGGAAACTATTCTAATCTGGGTAGCCTTTAAACAGTCTCTCTTCTTCTTGTTTATTTTAGCTGATGACGTGGTTTTGCCCATCAAATCAAATTAATTATTTAAAGGAAAAAAATTGGAATTCTTCATGTCTTTTTTTTAAGTATGATTTTTTTTGAAAGCCCAGTAATTCTGCTCTGCTAAATATTACTTGGTTATATAGACACACACAGTATCTCAGGACATGTTGCAATAGGGAATTCTGTTTTTCTCAAGTGTTCCGCATTGGATTATTATCTGGTTAACTTTCCTAGTAGGCTAGAGTTTTAGTGAAAGTCATAAAAGTAGAACTGGGGTTTCCAAAAATGAGACACTTTCCCAGGAGATGGTCGTTGACACCTTCATTAGAACCACTGGCTTAGAAATAAAGATCCATTCAGAAAGTAACAAAGAATGCTACCAACTGACTTCCTTATAGCAGTCCATGGCAGTATGTAAATATGCAAATGAAATTAAAGATTCACAGATTATTTTTAGCAAGATGTTAGTCCCAGTGGCCTGGAAATTTTTCTCTCAGGTACTGAATTCTGTAACCCTTGAGAATTCAACTACATACAATGATATACTTTTCTTCTAGTTCTACAGGGCACAATAATATGTCCCAGACAAACAAACAAACAAAAACCTTTCTGTATGCAGTTGGGTATTCATCTACCTCTCTACATTCGCTATAAACCAGTTATTCTCAAACATAAGATGTGTCAGAATCATGCAGAGGGTGTGTTAAAACACAGATTGCTGGGCTCTTCCTCAGTTTCCAAATCAGGACATGTGGGCTGGGGTCTGAGAATCTGCATTTCTAACACATGCCCAGGTGCTTCTGATGCTGCTGGTCTGAGGACTGAACATTGAGAAGCAATGTCTCCAGTAAGGCAAGGGTAATGAACTGGACTAGTTAATTTTCACTGTCAACCTAAATAACCAAGAGAGAAGTTATCTAAAAGAAAATGAGGCCGGGTGCGGTGACTCATGCCTATAATCCCAGCACTTTGGGAGGCCAAGGTAGGCGGATCATTTGAGGTCAGGAGTTCAAGACCAGCCTGGCCAAAATGGTGAAACCCCAGCTCTACTGAAAATAGAAGAAATAGCTGGGTGTGGTGGCGCATGCCTGTAATCCCAGCTGTTTGGGAGGATGAGGCAGGAGAATTGCTTGAACCCAGGAGGTGGAGGTTGCAGTGAGCTGAGATCCTGCCACTGCACTCCAGCCTGGGTGAGAGAGCAAGATTCTGTCTCAAAAAAAAAAAAAAAAAAAAAAAAAAAAAAAAATTAAAGAAATAGAAAATGATATTTATTTGGGAATATAACATTGCAGTGGGAATACAAGAGACATAGTAAACTATGTGTGTATTCACGGAGGTAAAGAAAGTCAAGGTTTTTAAAGGAAAGTGAGCAGGGCTACACTCATGGAACAATAACAAAGGTGGAGCCAGTCCAAAATTGTACTGGCAGTTGCTGGGCGGATGTCCTCACAGAGGTATTTTTTGTATAAGGTTGCGATGGCCTTTATGCAAGGTTATGGTTTTTGCAGCCTTTTGTGATAGTTTTTGTGTGTGAGAACCCTCCCTTCATGGCCTTCTCTGACTCTATTAGTCAAGATTTTTTTGTTTTGTGTTGTTTTTAACACAGTGGACTTAGTTTTGATTCTGGCAATTTTCATATCATGTATAATTGATCTTCTACATCAAATTGCCGTTTTAGAAAATTATCATTATGGAAAAATTTCCGTTGTAGAAATGTTCTTGTTTTGGCTTTAAAAGAACTATTGTTTGTACAAAAGAGAGAAAACTCTTTGATCCTTTGGTCTGTCGGCATACAATTTTTTTAGTAAATATTTTTTTTAAATTTTAATTGACAATTATTATATATATCTACGGGGTACCATGGGATGCTTTGATATATGTATACAATGTGAAATGATTAAATCAAGCTAATTAATATATCCATCACCTCAGATTACTTTTTGTGGTAATGAGTCATTTGAAATTTACTCATCAATTTTGAAGCATATAATACAGTATTAAAGCGATAGTCACTGGGCTATGCAAATAGATCTCAAAAACTTATTTCTCCTGTCTAACTGAAACTTTGTTCACTTTGACAAACATCTCCTCATTCCATCTCCACTTCACCCTACCTCCTACCCCTGCCCCTTGCCTACGGTAGCCACTGTTCTATTCTAGTTTGACTTTTTTAGATTCCACATATAAGTGAGATTATGTACATGCCATTTTCAGAACTATCTCATAAGGATGGGCTGGTTGCAGCAGAAGGAAACCTGGCTAAAGGGCTGGGTGGGTGCAAATCCAGCCTGTATTCAGCTCAACAAGCCTTGTATCCAGGTAGGACTGTAGCTTTCTACCCCCAAAAGAAGGGATACCTTTCTTTTTCTAATTCGCACGAGTCCTAAACACTTTTCAACGAGAGAAAATTCTTTGTGTTAAAACACTAAACCTCTTGTTCTTAGAATGACTATCGGAAGCTCTCCATGCAATGCAAAGACTTTGTAGTGGGTGTGCTGGATCTGTGCCGAGACTCAGAAGAGGTAGAAGCCATTCTGAATGGAGATCTGGAATCAGCAGAGCCTCTGGACGTGCACAGGCACAAAGCTTCATTAAGTCGTGTCAAACTTGCCATTAAATATGAAGTCAAAAAGGTGAGTGGGCCTACTGCTTTCATCTAGTGCCATATTAGAATAAACATTTAATACAAAGTATGCCATAATCCTAGGAAAATTATAAAAATAAGAAGAATATATGCTAGAAGTCTGGGCAACATAGTGAGACTGTATCTCTACAAAAAATAAACAGAATTAGCTGGGCATGATGGCGTGTGCCTATAATCCCAGCACTTTGGGAGGCAGAAGCAGGAGGATCACTTGAGGCCAGGAGTTTAAGACCAGCCAGGGCAACATAGCAAGACCCTGTCTCTACTAAAAATTTTAAAATTAGCCAGGCGTGGTGGCTTGTGTCTGTAGTCTCAGCTATTTGGGAGAGTGAGGCTGGAGGATCACTTAAGCCCAGGAGATTTGAAGCTGCAGTGAGCATTGATAGCACGACTGCACTCCAGCCTGGGGGACAGAGCAAGCAAGATCTTGTCCCCCCTCCGTCCCATCTCCCGTCAAAAAAAAAAAAAAAAAAAATACATACTATTGATAAAAGATTTTTTTGTGGTCGGGCACGGTGGCTCAAGCCTGTAATCCCAGCACTTTGGGAGGCCGAGGCGGGTGGATCACAAGGTCAAGAGATCAAGACAATCCTGGTCAACAGGGTGAAACCCAGTCTCTACTAAAAATGCAAAAAGTTAGCTGAGCATGGTGGTGCGTGCCTGTAATCCCAGCTACTCAGGAGGCTGAGACAGGAGAATTGCCTGAACCCAGGAGGCGGAGGTTGCAGTGAGCCGAGATCGTGCCATTGCACTCCAGCCTGGGTAACAAGAGCAAAACTCCGTCTCAAAAAAAAAAGATTTTTTTGTCGGGGGTAAAGTTGCAAGTTAAATGTTTCGCTTCTGATCCTTTCTACTTTTTACCTATGGTGAGAGTTTGAATACGTCATAAATTTTTAAATTTCAGTTCCTCATACGCAAGGAGGATAATATCTCTTATCTAAGGGTTTTGGTGGAATTTGAATGGGTTAAGATAGGCAAAAGCATTCTGTAAACTTAATTACAATACAATTAATAATACGATCTGTTACTTGTATACATTGTTGTAAGGCACTTTTACATTCTTATGTGAATCCTTGCAGTAAGCCTATGTTATTATTCATTTTATCTATTTAATTAGGTCAGATAGATGATGGGGTTTCTATTCTACAAGGAAACTGAGGATTGCCAAGCTTCAATGACATGTTTAAGGCCACACAACTATGAATTTGGTTATGTAGGTGCCAGAAATAAAAATTACGATTTTTTTACTCTGATTACTACAGAAAAACTATTATGTGTATCTATTTCTAATTTGTATGGGGCTTTTAGGTAATTCATAAAAATTGTAGTTATAATGTTTCACAATAATAAATATCTCAGTTGTCCAGAATCTAACAATTTATACATGTTATATAACAGATTTTTTTGGGTGTACTTTAAGACAAACTGATAAATCACAAAGAAATAAACTGTGATCAGCTCTGGATTTATGAAACTGGTCAATTTACAAAGAGCCAAGTGTTCTGTCTTTTCTGCAGTGTGACATGGTGCTTAAGAGGTCAGGCACTAGAGCCAACCTGTAAGGACTGAGGTCCTGACATCCCCATGTGCTCCCTGTGTGACCATGGGCAAGTCACCTAACCATCATGCCTCCATCTGCTCACTAGTAAAGTGAAGACAATAGTTGTACCTACTTATTCATTTGTTTAAGGATTGCATGAGATAATGCAAGTAATTAGCACAGAATAGTACATGGTGATTGCTCAATAAGTATTAGCTACTAATAATACCATTTCTACATTATGAAAATTCATACCCAGAGTGATGACTCTCAAGCAAGTTAGTCCTCAGTCATCAAAGACAGATTTCATGCCCCTTGTACTGGATCAAGTCCTTAGTAAGAGATAATAGCCATTTAAGCAGGAAGGAATTTAATAAGTGATATTGGGGAAGCTCACAGAATCCTAAGAAGAGGTAGAAGAACAAGTCTGAGTTGTGCTTCCAAAAACCTCACCCATAACCAGGCCCAGCATTAAGGGAGTTTCTATGACTCAAACAGAACAATTCAGCCTCTGCTGCTCCCATATCAGCAGAGAGGATGCTCTGAATCCTGCCTGTTTTCATATGGCCCCTTCCAAAATGCCTCTGATCAGTGGAGCCTAAGCCAGTGTTTGCACCCTAGCAGCCAGTGAGGATAAGAAAATCTCACTCGTGCTGTCTGTTTCTGTCTCTTTCTCCTCTTTCTCTCTCCCCTCCTCTCCATCTCTCTCTTTCTTTTGACACGAACAATTTTACTACCACAATGTAGAAAACTTCTACCCATGGTATTTGCAAGATTTTGGTCAACCATTTAATGGCAAATCTCTCCATTACTTCATAAGAAAATCAGATGTGAAGATTCTCCGTAAAGATGGAAATAAAACAGCTTTTCAAGAAAAGTATGTTACAAGATAATTAAATTGGCTAGATTGACCTCCTCTTAGAGTGTTCTTGCTAATTGAGGTTTTGTTAATATATTGAGGGACAGGGGTAATTTTGAACAAGATCAATAGTAAACTGTTTTTTAGAAAACTGTCTGGACATATATTCACACATCCTACAATATGTATCGTTTTTCTTTGGCACCTGAGAGAATTGATTTCAGTTGTCACTGGTTTTTAATCATTGCTTTGAAAGTGTCATATGAGCAGAGACAGCTTATCTACACTTGTGCTTCTGTCAACTAAACCGCCTTGCAGAGTTTATGTTTTCCTGCATGTTAATTTTAAATAAATTGACATGTAGATTACAATGTATGAAATGTTAATAATAAATTGGTATCAATCAACCACCAGGAAACAAAAAGTAATTTTTAGAACTGTAAGGAGATTTAGGACTTTGCAAACCTTTCTGGTTTTGTTTGTTTTATGCGATAAAAGGAGGATTAATTACAGTAAAGTCTTTGATTTGGAATCTTCACTCAATAAATGTGTGTAAGAATTCTATTCTAGAATAATAAATGTGTGTAAGAATTCTAAAATACTCCAAAGCCCTAATTCCTCCTTTTTTTCTTCCTTTCAAAGGCTTCCTTCATTTTCACTCAATAATCAACCATCTTCATTCTCACAAGGAGAAAAAATATCACCCCACCCACTCCTGCTGCTTCCTTTTCCCACCATCTCATTTCTAGTCTCCAAGCAAAACCACATCTTGGGTTATAATACTACACAAACCCTACCCATTCTGTCACAGAGGTAGTCTACAGCCATATGCAAACCATTGGGATTTCAAGATAATTTTATACGTTATGGACTGATAACGTAATAAACTCAGATTTATTCAAATCAACCCTTAATTTCACCAAGGAAACCATTCTTATCTAATGGTAAGCCATATAGCCACATTTGAGACTCAGGAAGTCCTTTTTCTACCCTCTGTCCAAGATCTACTCCCAACTCTGGTTCTGAGTCTGTTGGCTTCTAACTCGGCTCAGGATTCCCAGAGCTCTGGTCTTCCCTAGAAATCAAAGCTTGAGTTCAACCCAGGCCTTACAGAACTCAGTGACAGTTAATCCAGAAAATGAAAACATAAAACACCAGAATAAGAGATATATGGCCATGAATTTAGTGTTTATGTCACAAAGGACTTTCTAATATAAAAGTGAAGAAATCACAAAGCAAAAATACAAATAAGCTGACCACATATAATATAAAACCTCTGTATGACATCAGAAAGATTATAAACAAAAAAGTGAAAGGCAAACTGGGAAAAATTCTCTTTTTGATTATAACTCACAAAAAATTGATCTTCTTAATATCCCAAGAACTCAAACAAATTTGTAGGGAAAACATCCAGAGCCCCATAGAAAAATCAGCAAAATGTTAGAAGAGGCATGTCACAGAAGAAAAAATTCAGATGGCTAAAAGCATATTTAAAATTTTCAGACCTTCTAGTGATAAACGTATACTAATGTACAAATACCATTTTCCTTCTCTCAAACTAACAAAGAATAAAAATTTACAGTGCTCAATGATTATAGTAAAACAGCAACCATATGCCTGCATCTTTACTAACATGGAATGGATTTTGAAGATTATTTACCCTAAAATCTTTTTTTTCTTTTTTTGAGATGGAGTCTTATTCTGTTGCCCAGGCTGGAATGCAGTGGCGAGATCTCGGCTCACTGCAACCTCTGCCTACTGGGTTCAGGCAATTCTCCTGCCTCAGCCTCCTGAGTAGCTGGGATTACAGGCACCTATCATCATGCCTGGCTGATTTTTGTATTTTTAGTAGAGATGGGGTTTTACCATGTTGGCCAGGCTGCTCTCAAACTCCTGATCTTAAGTGATCCGCCTGCCTTGGCCTCTCAGAGTAATGGGATTACAGGTGTGAGCCAATGGGACCAGCCTAAAATCATTTTAAGGGGTCTCTAAGGTAAATTATAAAACTGGAAGGATAGTAAACACTATTTACGGAAATACCTATATTATTCTTTGGAAAGAGAATGGAATAGATTGGAAGATGAAATTTGATTTTCTGAAAATGGGTACAAGAAAATAAATTTTTAGGCAAAAACATAAATTTTGTTTAATTAGAATAATGGACTATTTGCCCCCCCTCCCAAAAGTCTTGAGTTCTATTTCTGACTCTACCTCTATCCTGCTCTGTGAGGTAGGAGTAATTAGCACAGAGTAGTACATGGTGATTGCTCAATAAATATTAGCTACTAATAATACCATTTCTACATTATGAAAATTCATACCCAGAGTGATGACTCTCAAGCAAGTTAGTCCTCAATCATCAAAGACAGATTTCATGCCCCTTGTACTGGATCAAGTCCTTAGTAAGAGACCATAGCCATTTAAGCAGGAAGGAATTTAGTAAGTGATATTGGGGAAGCTCACAGAATCCCCAATAGATGTGCAGCTGAACATTAATCCACTCCACACCATAGAAATAACCAAAATTCTACCTACTTCACCATGAGCTATGTCTATTGTGAGAAAGTTTTTAACAAAAGATACTAGAGCT